TGCATATATTTTGCATAAATTGAGAACAATGCTTACATAATAAAATTGTCAAAAACTTTTGAACAAAGATGAAACAAAATCATCAACACAAACTTTTTTGATTTTTATTTAGATTTTGTGTTTATTTTGTTCATTATTGACCATAGAAAGAAAACGTGAGAGGATGTTTACATAAACTTACCAGAGTTTCTCCAGTTTACAGCGAGGATCCTTCAGTCCATCAGAGAGCAGCTTCACTCCTGACGATCCTAGTTTATTCTCAGACAGATTCAGTTCTCTCAGGTGTGAGGGGTTTGATCTCAGAGCTGAAGCCAGAGCAGCACAACCTTCATCTGTGACTCCACAATCACTCAACCTGTAGAGAACAATGACATTCTTCAGTCTCTCAGTTCAGCAAACACTGGTATAAATGATGTGTGATATATATGAATTTCTCCGTTCATAGCTCTGGTCAGACAGTTCACACTAAAATCATAAATATTTCCATGTTTTATCAGTGTAGTGAGTGTTGTCAGTGTGACTTACTGAACTGATCTGGATTCTTTAATCACAGGCAGCAGCTTCTGAAGAACTTCATCTGCTTTATTTTGGGCTCCAACAAACTGTTTTAGATTAAACGCATCCATCTTCTGCTCTGATGTCAGCAGCACATAAACCAGAGCTGGCCACTGTGAAGAGGAGAGTTTGGTTTCTCCTATTTGTCCAGATCTCAGATAATCCTGGATCTCCTGCATCAGTGAATCATCTCCCAGTTCATTCAGACAGTGGAAGAGATTGATGGATCTCTCTGAAGAGTGATTCTCCCTGATCTTCTGTTTGAATAAATAAATAAATCGTGATATTTTTGCCATATATCACCCACCCCTAGCCGAGGGGGAACGACCCCATTCACCCACCCCTCCCCCGGTCCGCGATTGTGCCCTCGTAATGCCATTTCACCATTTCGCCCCTGCCCCTCCAGAGGTCTGTGCACGCCACTGATTATTACTATACACAAATAAAAGTAGACCCCTTTGCAGTTTCAAACGATGCCTTATTCTTATCTGTACGATCAAAAATGACGATGTATTTTTAGTTATTTTCACTGGTATCATTAAAAACCTGACAGACTGTGTGCGTTCTTCGCCCCAGAGGGTTAACACATTTTTATGGACATACTTGTAACATCTTCATCTCATCCAGTAATGTTTTCTATTAATAAAAACAATAATAAGTTCATGTAAGACACAGAAAGAATCTAATGAAGACAAAAGCAACATTCCTATCACTAATTTCACAGCATTTTTTTGTATAGCAATCATTACTCACCATATGAGAAAAACAGAGGACAACGTTGATACATTTTATACAAACTTACCTCAGTATTTTCAGTTTACAGCGAGGATCCTGCAGTAGATCAGAAAGCTGCTTGACTCCAAAATCTCCCATTTCATTTCCAGTCAGATCTAGATCTCTCAGGTGTGAGGGGTTTGATCTCAGAGCTGAAGCCAGAGCAGCACAACCTTCATCTGTGACTCCACAATCCCTCAACCTGTAGAGAACAATGACACTCTTCAGTCTCTCAGTTCAGGATCTACAGCTCAGATCAGCAGCAACTTCACAATCAGAGAGAGAGACTTAATCCACGACACGATTAACAGCTCCAGTCTAAGGTTCAGACCCGCTTCTTCATGGTGCTTGAGGGGGTTCATTTCAGCATCATAAGAATGATACTGATTTTTTTTATGCGAGTACCAAAATCATCAACACATCTGTATTATATGAAAACATCCTCACATCATCATTATTCTGTAGTAATGATATAAAGCAACCAATACCATGCTGCAAGCAACACCACGATCACTGGTTCAGTGCACGAAACTGATCAAATGTGTACCTTGAATGCAATGCAAGTTGCCTAAGATTAAATCATCTGCTAAATGCATTAATGCAAATGTAACTAAAAGACGTTAGACACTGTAAAAATATTCTAATTAAGTCCAAGGAAACATTCTCTTCAGTTATCTGACAGTGCATTCGTTTGTTTGTTTGTTTTTTGCTTTTGTTTAATTTATTTTTCATATTATTCAGTACTCGCAGTGGGATGAGAATAATGGAAAATAGTGAATTTGTATACACTCTTACTTCAGTTTCTCTAGTTTACAGCCCGCAGGGCACTGGAGGGGGTCAGCAATAGTGGCGTTTTCCATACGGATCCCAATTTGTCAGTCACTGACGTAACGTTGAACGTGACTGACTGAATGGGAACGTCTAGGTTACTTGTGTAACTAGTACATTTTATCATATAAAAAATGAGAACGGACAAGAGCAAACAAAGGAGCTGATGAGCGAATTAATCAGACAACAGGTGAACATAATGAACTAATCAGGGCAACTAAGGAAATCTAGGTCAAACAAGGCAGAAAACAGACAGACAAAGCATACGTTACACATAAATGTCCATTCAAATTAACAAATATTTGTAAACATTCAGCTGTAAGTCATCACAAGACTGTATGGGACATGTTCATGTTGTGTGTTAAGACAGAGAAACCGCACACACAAGGCAGAAGCAGGATGAGAATTACCTAAATCTTCACTAAGCCAAACACAATGTCAAATACACAGTCAATATGCAAACCTCATGGTTATCCCAAAGCCAGCCAAAAGTCTACAGGTTAGTTTATGTCTATATAGCGAGGTAAATAGTATTGGTCATGATTTTGGCATGTAGTTATTAAAGAATGAAACAGTACATCAACATGAAAATCACCACAGTGGTACTTGGGGAGATGTAGAACAAGAATCTGTTTGAGTTTACAGAAAACTATTTGATTTCATCTTTTAATGAATTTTTTTAATATGTCTGTATTGCAAGGTAAATAGTACTGGTCATGATTTCGACAAGCAATTACTACAGAAAGAAACAGTACAGCAACATGAAAATTGCCACAGTGGTAGGCCTACTTTCCACACCATTGTTTCTGCCATGTTCTCTTTTGTCGTGGTTTCTTCTTTCTTTCGGACAAAATAACTGCACAGACCAATTGAAGGGCCAGTTGATCGTCCATGCTTGAAGGTATGGCCTGTAATCGCTGTAATTTCTCTGGAATTTATGTGAGAAAACGTATTTTCGCTGAGGGTGTGTGCACCTCGTCAGCGTTGTGTTGTGTAGTATGCGCGCAGCTATGACAAAACGACGACAGATGAGAAGAAATCTAGTTGCGTAGTGTGAGCAACACAGTGATTGGGCTAGTCTTTCAATCCTGTAGTGTGAGCTTGCCATTACACGCGATGCTGACATTTTGGCTATGATGAAAAGTATATGAATGGCGGCGTATTTAAGAAGAATAGTGCAAGCAGCACTTCACACCCACATGAAAACAGCAGCGCAACCGGTGTTTATCATAGGAAAAGCAACATATCAGATGAATTCCGTGAGCAGAGGACGAGAGCTCCAGAGTTTATGCGGTTAGAAGAAATCTCTAGCATTAATTCTGATCATGGCTTGTCTCAAAAAACGAAGACAGTTTGACGTTCGTCATAGGAGAAGTCACACTGCAGGTCTGAGCGCCAGATCTTCTGACAATGCCAGAATTTCGTCTGAGGTCAAATTTGATCGCAACGGCCATTAATCGGCTGTCGGTGAACATGTCAAACCAGCGATCAAAGACTACAGACTTTACTTTACTGAAAGTTGCTTTTAGCTTCTTTCTAAAACTCTCCTACTCTTAGAAAATTCCTACTTTTTACTAAGAATTTTTTGACACTTAAGTCAAAGCTTAAGACTATTCTTAAGAGCATTTCTGAGAAGTTTTATACATACGGGCCCTGACCTTTATCTCACTCTCAGCTTCAGAATCAGGAGGACTTGGCCTCTGAAAAGCATATCTGTCTATATCAGGGATCCTCAAATCTGGCTTGTGAGATCCACTTTCCTGCAGAGTTTAGCTCCAACTTTGATCAAACTCAACCACCTGTGATTTTCTAATGATCCTGAAGACTTTGATTTGCATGCTCAGGTGTGTTTGATTAGGGTTAGAGCTAAACTCTGCAGGAAAGTGGATCTTTTGCAAGCCAGATTTGAGGATCCATGGCCAATATGAAACAACAGGTTCTGAAAAGGTCTGTTTTGGTTTGAGCCATTCCAGTTCAATTGAGTGGCTAATGAATAGCAACGTGTAGAATGGGGTTCCTCTCATGGTTCCACATAGCAGCATTTGACAAAGATACTGCATAGCACCTTTTAAAGATAGGTGCTATATGACACTTAAAATGGACCTCTAGAATTACAAGCCAATGAACCACTTTTAGTGCTATTATGGAAATAAATTAAAAATTGAAACAAAAAGCATGTTGAATTGCACTAACTGAAGAAATAATGCATTGTATGAACAGTGTTTGCATTTTAATGCCTTGTATTTTCAGGGCTTGCATTTTTAGGTCCTGAAATTTACCATAGTTGTTTATTTAAGCTATGAATATTTCAATTCAAAATATTTCACACACATTTTCATAATTAAAAATTATATATTCACCTTCCAGAATTCACTTCCCAAATATGCAAACTGTTTAAAAATACGATGTATAATATTC